ATGTATTTTTTAAATTCACTAACATCACTATCTCTTATTTTTATGTGTTTGCTAAATTCACTAACATCACTAAAATCTCTTTACAGATGTACACAGCCGCATGCTTCGCATCTGTGTTCACATGACAAAATGATATTGGGATGCGAGAAAAGCTTGAAGTGATTTGAAATCAGCAGCAAAAAGAAGTTTATTAATTTCTGAGTGAACGGGTTTGTATTCATCACTCGGTACCTATTGCCACAACAGAAATCAGGATATTTGACCCAAATTTTTTTATTTTGAAACTGAACAAAAAAAATTTGTTTTTTTACAATGGTTTATAAGATCGATTTTCCAAAAACTCCCACAGCATATCAAGATATAGTCAACTATTTTCGTAATGGAATACTTCCAGAAATGATAAAACCAAATAATCGTTAGAACTTCAAACGCAGAATGAAGCTTTGGCATTTGGAGAATGATCTCCTTTACGTTAAACTTGAAAATCAACCATTTCGTCAATTTGTACCGGCGTGGGACATGAAATTTCATCAATCACTTTTTCAACAATTTCATATAAATGATCATCATATAAATGCAAAAGAATGTTTTAATAAAATTTATATAAATCATATTGGTATCACTAGAAATGAAGTTTATGAGTTGGTTCAGAATTGCAACATTTGTAATAGAACAACATCGATTAAAGAAAAAGATGATATAATACCAGTTGTTAGCTACGGTCCTATAAAACATCTTCAAATGGATCTTGTAGACTTTACAGCATATAAAGAACAAAATGATGGCTTTGCATGGCTTCTTACAATCGTCTGCATTTTTTCAAAGTTTCTTTGGACTATTCCGCTTAAGACTAAAGAAACTGTGATCGTTGGGGATGTCTTGGTTTCTTTATTTGCTCAATGGGGTGCGCCATCGATCCTTCAATCTGATAATGGCAAGGAATTCGTTTCCAATATCATTAAAAATATTTGCATGGCTCTTGGGATTACAATTCGACATGGTCGTCCACGATATCCACAATCACAAGGTCAAATAGAGCGATTAAATCAGACAATCAGACGTGAATTTACAAAAATGATGTGGGATGAAGAAAATTAACTTCAAAATGTCAATTGGAAAGATAACCTGGAAAAATTTATTTTCTCTTATAATACCACACGACATAGTGCTCACAATAAAACTCCCCGTGAAGTTATGTTTGGTTATAAATTCCTTGGAATTTATCAAAAATTTAATCTGAAAGATATAGAAGCTGTTCAAGAAATAGACAATTCACCTGAAATTCAAGTTGCTAATGCCGTCATTTTACCGCAAGTCGTTCGAGAACATCTGGAGAAGATTACAGTTATTTAAGATAATGTAAACAATCAGTTTGAGAAATTACACAAATATATGATTAAATATTCTAGTGTTCACCATCGTACAAATATTCTTGAACCAGGCCAATCAGTTGCAATTGCTCCAGATACTGATATGAACCCATCGACTAAAAAGCGCAATTTGGAAGTTACTTTTAAGGATACCGGAACGATTATTGGTATAACAAACAATAATAAGACCATTATTATTGAAATGCCTGAGGGAAATACTAAACGTTGTCCTTCAAAAAGGGTTCGTCGTCTTAAAAAAGTTGATTCTTAATTATAATTTCGCATTATAT